CACCACGCAACGGTGAAAACCCCAGTCTCAAAAGTGAAGCCATCCAGCGAGTGCCAAAAACTGCAATTCATCAAATGGCCACTTGGGGCTGTCTCCAAAAGGGAGTCAATCAATCAACATTGACCTGGTTTGGTTTGCCTTTTTTTAGGCATCCAGTTTAAATTATTACCCAATTCTGTGTTACACCTTCTTTAGCCAACTTCATTCCAACTCATTACCTCCACTTTCACACTTCTTGGTGGAATTCATGGTCAGTATGTCTCATTTATATGAAACTATACCAAATTTTTAAGTTAAAAAAGTAGAAATTATTAATTAATTTGACTAATAGTTGAGATCAGAGGACTATATGTTGATGGAATATCACAGACAGGTATATGTCAAAGTTTGCTCAGGATACTGTTTTAAAACCATTTAATTATTTTTAATGGCAACACTTGTTGTCACTCAGGTAATAATTGACCCCAACTGGTTTGTCTGTTTATAAAACATAATGTATAAATTATCACCCAATTCTTAGCCAACTTCTTTCCAACTTATTAATCATCCAACTCGTTCTTCAAATTCCTGTACCAAGTTATTGTCAGCTTTTATACAGGTGCAACTGAAAGCATCCTGACTGTAAACATCAGTAACTGGCATGGGATGTGCACAGCCCAGGACTGGAGGACTCTGCAGTGGTGACCAGACTACATCTTTTCCCCCCTAAGCTATCAGGCTCTTAAACTCAAAATCATCCTCAACACTGCTCCATTGATCATTGAATATTGTTTATTTCTGTTTCCCTTTTTATTAATTGCTTCTGTATTAATATATATAGTCTGCCTACCTATCTACTTACCTACCTTTGGAAGTAGTGTGATCTACACTTTTAACAAAATATGATAATTGTAAATGAAAATATTAAGGTGGTATGTAGAATATATTAGGTGGTTAGTAGAAAGTAATAAAACATAAAAAATTAGAGGTGCTGGTTTTAGTTGGACATTTCTTTAAGAGTTCAATGTGACGTTTCACTCTATCGTGAAAAACAAAGAATTATCTGCACACTGAATAGTTTTGAAGCCCCCTAGGGGCAAATACCACAAGACCTCTGTGAAGATCTTGTGGCGATTGCACAGGTATTGTGAGGCTGTAGACATGCACCTATTTACCTACAGTATCTAACAAATGTGAGTACACTCCTCACATTTTGTTAAATATTTGATTATATCTTTTCATGTGAGGACACTGAAGAAATGACACTTTGCTACAATGTAAAGTAGTGAGCGTACAGCTTGTATAACAGTGTAAATTTGCTATCCCCTCAAAGTAAGGCTGGAGCCTATCCCAGCTGACATTGAGCGAAAGGTGTTTATTTTGGTCTTCCTTCTGGGACGACCAATTTGACGCTCTAGCGGTGCTGTACGGTGTATGGTCTGAGCACTGACAAGCTGACCCCCCACCCCTTCAATCTCTGCAGCAATACTGGCAGCACTCATACATCTATTTCCGAAAGACAACCTCTGGATATGACATCCAGCATGTGCACTCAACTTCTTTGGTCAAACATGGCAAGGACTGTTCTGAATGGAACCTGTCCTGTTGAACTGCTGTATTGTCTTGGCCGCCGATCTGCAGCTTAGATTCAGGGTCTTAGCAGTCTTCTTAAAGCCTAGGCCATCTTTAGGTACATTTGTCAAAAAAGTACCCTGTAAGGTACGGAAATGGTCCTTAAGGTGTTAACCATGGACCTTTGTTTATTTTTTAAAGGTACAGAAGCATTGCTGACAGCAAAGGGTACATAACTGTACTTTTAACAAGCTTAAGGTACAGGCAAATGATGCAGAAAATCAGTGATCCTCTGCCACCAGAACAGTGGATGAGACACATCCCTTTGGTGTGAGAGACCTGGGTTCAATTCCCACAGTGACACATCCACCAATGTGTCCTTGAGCACACCTCTAGGTGCTGCAGAGGTGTGTGACCTCTGATTCATGTAGCAATTGTAAGTCACTTTGGATGAAAGTCTCAGCTAAATGAATAATTGTAAAGGTAAATTTTTGTCACTAGGGGTGCAGAACTGTTCTTTTAGAGGTACAAAAATGTACCAACATTTAAAGGTACAGTCCTCATACCGTGCTGGGGTACAGCTGGAGCGACAAAGCATTTGTACCCTTTTAGGTCCATTCCTGTACCTTGATTTATCTGTGTGTAGAGCAATCATTCTTGAAATTTTTTCAGATCCTCACAGAGTTCTTTGCCATGAGGTGCCACGTTGAACTTCCAGTGACCAGTATGAGGGAGTGTGAGAGCGATAACACCACATTTATCACACCTGCTTCCCATTCACACCTGAGACCTTGTAACACTAACAAGTCACATGACACTGGGGAGTGAAAATGGCTAATTGGGCCCAATTTGGACATTTTCACTTAGGGGTGTACTCACTTTTGTTGCCAGCGGTTTAGACATTAATGGCTGTGTGATGTGTTACTTTGAGGGGACAGCAAATTTACACTGTTACAAGCTGTACACTCACTACTTTACATTGTAGCAAAGTGTCATTTCTTCAGTGTTCTCACATGAAAAGATCTAATCAAATTTTTACAAAACTGTGAGGGTTGTATTACTATAGGTCCATCCGCTCTGTAACCTCAGAGATTGCAGCTTCACAATTAATGTTACCACCTAGTGGAATTCATAATTATTTGTGCAGGTAATTCTTTGTTTCACCACTTACCCACAGGTTGGTTTGGATGTCTGCACATTCTTTTGTGTTTAAACTAGACTTATATCAATACAGCAAACAAGGGGATCTTCAATACTTCACTTCATGCTGGGTGTAAGGCCCATTGTTTATCTTATTATCATAAATAAAGATGTAAAAAGAAAGGGAGTTTTTTTCAAAACAGTATTTCTGTCTGTGTGTTATGGGTAGCCTTCAATAAATGTTTTTAAATAAATATAATCCAAAATTGTAATGCTAACCCTGGGTTGTCGGTGCGCATGTGTAGGCGTTGCGTGTATGTGTGTAGTGGTAGTAGAGGAACACTTGCTGTGCGTGCATGTTGTTCGCAGCTGACATTCGAAATGATTCTGATATCATTTTTAAGCAGCCGGCTATTTGAAACAGACCAGCGAGGAACCGCAAATGCACGCAAAACTCAGCACAAGCCAGTGAATGACTGGAAAAAATGGTTAACAATAAGCAACAATAAGACAACAATAAGCTGTTTTCGCTGTTTTCGCCAGGGACTGAAGCAGAGGTGAAGTGTTGCTTTGGAACAGATAGTCTTTATCGTCATCTGCTGGCTGACCCGTAGTAGCTACACAGACATCCATATCCATATTCAGCCCGTTTTCATCTACCGGCGATTTGAGAAAGAGTGACAAAGTGTAGTTATGTGTGAGACTCCCCAGACGGCATCCCGTACAGACCGGAAGTGCTAGTTAGCAAGCGGTAGCTAGCTAGCTAGCTACATTCGTGATAAAGGTGTTGACAGCCCCTACCCTTACCACAACCATCAGAAGCTGTATGTTATTTAGAATGTGGTTGCATGGACAGAAATACTGTTTTGAAGAAAACTCCCAATTGTGTGTCATGTGTAGCCGAGTGCAAGTAGCTGAGAACTGATGTGTGGACCCAAATGCAGACTACAGTCAGCGGGATGCAGTTCAATAAAACATTTATTAAAGAAAACTAAGCAGGCTTACGCTGGGAGCACAGGAAAATCCATAAACAAATAACAAGGTACAATCGAAAGGATAAATTCAAAAAGCGCAGGAACAGGACAGAACACTCAACACAGACGATGACATCACAAAGACTGAACAGAACAAGCAATATTTAAACGCTAGGTAACGAAGGGCAGGGCAGGACCAACACCAGGTGGAGGCAATCAGACACAGACAAACAGGCAAGCAGGTGAAACCAATTGAGGGGAACAGACAGGTCCAGACCAAAATGCAGAAACACAAACTGAACACTCAATATATGAAAACTAAACAGGACATCAAACAAGCAGACTGAACACTAAGAGACAAACTAAACATAACAGGAAACAAGCACTCAAGACTAAACACTGTCAAATAAACAATCACCAGACAGAAGACGCAAACCAACACTTAGCAGACAAAAAACAAATTAACTGAAATAAACTACAACCTAACAAGGAACAGACTAAGACTAGGATAACCAGAACACAAAGTAGACAAGACCAGGAAAACATACACTAAGACACAGGACTAAGAACTAAGGCACAGAACTAAATTGCAAGACTAAGAACTAAGATAAGAGACAAGACAGAAACTATGTAAACTAAACATGCGAATGAACAAAAGAACTAGGCTACAAAACACAAAACCCTAAACCATGACAAGATCAAATAAAACTTGAAGAAACACAGAACCCAAAACCAAACCTATGAAAACAGACTAAAACACGAAAAAGAATGAACACAATACCACAGTCCTAACAAAAAGTGATCATATACTAAACAGTAAATATGGCCAAAACAACAGACATTCGCCTGGTATATTTTTGAAAAATTGTGTAATAACTGTTCTATATTATTTTATTTTATTATTAAATTTACAGTTACAGTTGTATTCCAGATTTATTAGAATATATTCAGTTGCATTGTAATCAGTTGGATGATGGTTTTGATGGTGATATTGCTATTAAAATATAGATCTTATACTAGGCGAGGATGAAAATATCATGTTTTCCTTTATTGCATCTCCATTTACTCCTTAATAGCAGAATAAATAGGTTCATTTACAGTTGATTCATATTCCAGCTTCCGACCTATCAAAGGAGACTAGAATTATGCATCTAGGCCTGAGTTGGTTGAGTTATTCCAAATTCATTATGGGTATGTTATTTTATGCGTTTTTCCTAGAAATAGGTGCCTGTTTCCAAAACATAAATTGTTAAAGGGGACTGGGTGCTTAAGACCCCATAACTTTTTAGGGTAGGGTCAATAAAGGTTTAACAGTCCGGGTTTATTTTGAAAGTCATGACCGGAAAACAACAAGCAGTGACTTGTAAGTGGGCAGGGGCTGGTTGCACCCACCCTGCTCCTCCACGGCCCGTCATCAGCGAGTCCTGCAGATCGCGGAGCGGTCCTATAAGCGCTTCTCCAGCAGACCTGCGGACAGTGAGCGTGTCGGCGCGCAGAGACACTGACAACAGGACTGAGCCACGAACCATCAACTCGGAACTAACATCAAACACTCAGATCTGACAGATTACTACTAATCCTCTTGTTGAAGAACCACAGGAAAGCAGTTGCCAATGCGCGTTTTGGCACTGTGCTAACGTGAGGACTAATCCTGTTTTTGGTCTCTTCGTTGATTTGAATTATTATTGACTTGCTCCATGCCACAGAACAGGATAGGATTATAACTCTCGTTTGGATTTAATACACTTTTCATCGTTTTAACTATCCATCAACGCCAACTTCTCTTTACACATCTGGAAATTGCGCACGGGATGGCGCAACGGGTAATTTTTGATTTTTCATTATTACAACACTTACAGCACAAGATTATTCCTTTCCTGCACAGGTCACTGTGTACACTGTGTAATCACAGGTACATGAATGAAAACTATGATGTGGACCCACAAAAGCTAATTCAGTAAGTGCTTCTATATAAATGCCCCAGCCTCTACAGGAGGCCAGGTCTAATGCCCGTATTGCATACAATAAACAGGAAGAGTATGTCTTAATTTAGACGGAAAGTTTTTTTTCCTACACTTGCCCTCCTGTCATATGTTCATGCCTAATGTCATCTTCAACTTTCCCCGCAGTACGATGAGTTGGCTCATTACGGAGGCGCGATGGACGGAGTCGGAGTCCCCACTTCCATGTACGGAGAACCGCACGCCCCACGGCCCCTGTCCCAGGTCCACCATCTGAACCACGGGCCGCCGCCGCACCCGACGCAGCATTATGGAGCCCACGCGCCGCACAACATCATGCCCAGCAGCATGGGCAGCGCCGTCAACGACGCACTGAAGAGAGACAAGGACCAAATCTATGGGTGTGGATATAATAATAATACTAAAACTAATACTGCTACTGCTACTAGGCTACTACTAATAAAATGCATTTTTTTATTCTGATGTTATAGAGAAAGAAATGAAACTGTTGTATTTTTTTACACATTTCAGCTGTTGAGCAGAAATCCACAATGACATTTCACATAAATTCATTTTTTATCTTACAATTAATAATATACTCTGCTCATAAGATGAAGTAAGTTTCGATGCAGTTCCAGTTGGATCTATTTTTGCAGCTTGAAATAATGCACTTATACCTCAGCAGTGAATGTAATTTCTTAATATCTCTGACAAATTGTTTGCATTTGAAACAGATGAAATAATCTCAATGCTGCGGCGCATTTGTTCCCACACATTAAGGAGGAATAAATACATTTTTGTACATCTTACAAAGCGGTATTCTTTTGTTGACATCACCGACCTTAATGTGAAACGAAATCTGCCGCCGCTGTAGTTCATGTTCAGGCCTAACAATGGGCCTGTCTTCGCCTGTTGCAGCCACCCTTTATTCCCTCTGCTGGCTCTGGTGTTCGAGAAGTGCGAGCTGGCGACCTGCACGCCCAGAGAGCCCGGGGTGGCGGGAGGAGACGTCTGCTCCTCTGACTCCTTCAACGAAGACATAGCTGTGTTTGCAAAACAGGTAGGACAGACACAGACAGGTGCGCTGAATATACAGAGAGTAAGAAAATAATCTGCAGCCGAATGTGTTCACGACCAAAACTGCAACATTTCATTTTCTGGAACCACATTAACTTAAATACTAATTTGATTATAATTTTGTCAGTTTGATTAATTTAAACCTCCAGGTTTAAGTAAAAAAAAAAACGTTATCCGTTTGAAAACACCAAGTGACGTCTTATTTTCTGTCTTGGTTCAGATTCGCGCAGAGAAGCCTTTATTTTCTTCCAACCCAGAGCTGGATAACTTGGTGAGTCCTCTGCAGCCGCCAGATTTCTCTCTCTGTAATAAAAGAAAAATATTTTTATTATGTTGGTAATTATCAAATGCACACAGTCATTATTATGATGTCTAAAATAATGCCGTTATCATGGTTTTTATTAAAAAAGAAAATTATGTGTGTGTGTGTGTGTGTGTGTGTGCGCGCGCGCGGGGGGGGGGGGGTATATATTTTTTAGATGATTCAAGCTATTCAAGTCCTACGATTTCACCTCCTGGAATTAGAGAAGGTAAATATTTTCTTTGTTCACCTTTAATATTAATATTATTCCAGAAAACTCGGTAAGTCTAAATAAAGACTTGATTTGCAGGTCCACGAGCTTTGTGATAACTTCTGCCACCGGTACATCAGCTGCCTGAAAGGCAAAATGCCCATTGACCTGGTCATAGAGGAGCGAGATGTCTGCAAGTCGGACTTTGACGACCTCTCGGGATCCTCCACCAACCTGACAGATCACGTAAGTCTCATGGAAAGGGTTATATTTCTCAGGAGGAGAAGCTTGCATGCAAGTGTCTCCTTCAGTCAAGAATTCTCTCTACTTTTGAAGGTGTGTGAGCTGCTTGCAGGTCTAACTCTTATTATTGAAAAAATAGCTTACAGTTGTTGTTTACCTATACAAGTGGCTAATAGCTGTTTCTGTTGACCACTGGTTACCAAACCCTGGGGTGGGGCCAATCCAAGGGGTCACCAAATAAATTTTAGGGGTCTTGAGAGAAGGAAAAAAAACCCACTGCATTCTCCCCTTTTTTATTGTATTCTTATTTTATTCTTAAACACTGCACTTTTTAAAAATAACATGCTGGAGAGTGAATTTCTCACAGCATGTTAACATGTTGCAGCTTCTGACTGGGGATGCATGACATTGCTTCATTTGACGAGTTTGTGGCATTAATGAAGCCGAGTGCTGTTTGCAGTTTGATGCTGCTGGTGCAGCAGAGCCTCAGTGGAACAAAGAGAAACTGCTCACAGTATGCACACTTGAGATTTGTTGTGTTTGTCAATGACAATTTGTAACTTTATTGATGAAGATGATGATTGGTGTTTGCTTCAGTCTTCTGTTTCTCAGCAATTAATATTAATACAGCTATTTGTTCCTACTTTGGGCCCCTGCTTTTCTTCACAAAGAAGCAAATTCAGATGTTGAAGTGATTTTGAGTTGCAGTTTAGCAGCAGTATTGGACTATGTGCAAAAAACATATATATATATAGTATAATTTCCATGAATGTCTGCAAATTATTCATGTATTCATCGGATGCCCGACACTTAACCTCTCAACATGTAGGAGTTCATGGCTGCTACAGATGGTCTCAAGAAAGATGTCTAAAATTGATATCAAACAGTCATTTGATTCATTGATTTAAAAAAAAAAAAGTTATTGCCAAGTAGTTTTACACATACGAGAAATTTGCTGTGGTGATAAGGTGCTACACGTAGACAAACATACAATCAATATAAATAAATATAGAAATATAGAAATATGCAATGGGATAAAGTTAACATAAAATGTCTTATCCAAATGCGCATGGCAACTCATGGGATTATGAGGTTTGCACCACCCAAAAATCAAACCATGGGCCAGGAAAGGCTGAGAAACCCTGACTAAAATGCTGTTTTATTGTAATGTTTACCATGCAAAGTGTAAATTCAATCAAATATGAATACTGGCATCATCAATTGTATAGGTGCAGATTCAGTGAAAAACATCATTACTGACTTCAGTGACTTTAGAAACATACATCGTCTTTATTCTTTTGAGAGACGCTTCCTTCTGAATCAAGTGACAGAATGCAGTTTGTGTGTGTGTGTGTGTGTGTGTGTGTGTGTGTGAGGGGCCACCAGTTGATGTGACAGGACGCTCTCTGGCTGTTTTGCCTTCCTCCTAACGGCTGCTACAAAATGCATGTGCTACTCTCCTCTGGGTAGAAAGACGTGCATAGCTGTGTAACATAGATGCACCATGATCAGTTTATTGTGTGAGTGTGGGGTGAGTGTACAGGTAGGTTAATGTGACTCTATGTGTTTTGCAGCCATCACCCATGTGAAGGCTCATGCTGATGGTTTGGACTGTAGCTCCTGATGGCTGATCTTTTGTGTTGTGCAAAAAATATCCCAATTTAAACATTTTGTCTTTTGAGTCAGAGTGTCTCATTTTATGAAAGCAAGCGAAAACCTGGCAGTACAATTTAATTTCATCTGATTCCAATTTGAATCAGCTGTAGTGTCATTTTCTGTGATCTGCACAAGATACTGGCACTCATTCAAGACAATTATCGACCAACAAAACAAAAACAAAGTTTCTTTCATTTATTCTTAAAGGATGAAAAAGCATCTAAAAATAGATTTAGACCATCGTATGACATATACCTGCCATGCATGTTTTACTGACACCTGTGAGACTAGTTCAACAGAATCATTGTAAAACCTTTACTCTCAGCATACTGATACTCAAACTATGCATTTTGGAGGAGCCTGAGAACAAAGAATATTATTTCCAATGACTGCTTCACTGTAATTATTGTAAATATGAAAAATAATGAACTTTTGTCTTTATTGAATTGTAGAAGGTCAAGGGTTGGGCAAGGACATGCCATGCAGCAAAGATCCCTGGTCTGAATCAAAACAGGGATGTTGATATACATGGTCAGTGCTTTAAACCCTAAAATGAACACCAAAACCCAAAGTCAGTTTTGTAGAATCGACATCCACTTTGACAGGGTAGAAGATGGATCAACAGGTACCTGAAAAGTCCTCCTTAAGCTTGACTGCTTTGGTTTATGTGGAACAAATCCTCTAGTTAAATGCGATAAATGTATGTGCTTTTCCTGAAACAGAACTTTGTTTGGTTTGTGTTTGTAGCTAGTGGTCATTTGGTGTAGGAATTCAACCTGTCTTTACAGAGAGTAATCTGGATAATCTGCAAAAAGAAACTGTATAAGGTAAACAGAAGCTTGAATGTTTGGTAGAATTTTCTTTATCTATGTATGAATTTCATACACACGCTGGTCCTGGTTGCACATTACCCTCCATTCCTGTTAATTAGGTTTTAACAGATGGGGTGTTAGGAAATAAAGCCTTCATTAACTTGATAAACATGGAAACACATGGCGCCTCTTTGAGTAACTGTGTGTACTGAGGAGTTGTAATTATTGTGTGGCTGGACAAGAAAAGAGGGGCCATCATTGAGAGGCCTCATTCACACTGTTCCATTATCCCTGTGCTTCTTCTTGTCATCTGCCAACCTCTTCATCTGATCACCATCCGGCAAACAGCTGACGCAGAGAGGCTGAAGGGGGAGATCTGCTGTTTGGTTTGGGCCTATGGCTGTCTGAGTGGCAAGGCCGATCAGCCCAATAAATACAGGGTTTCCCCCAACACGGTCACAGACACAGCCTTGACACAGGAGGGTCCACATGCTGCAGGGTTACAGACTGTTCTCTAAACTGTTCTGCAATTATATTTAAACCTCCCTCTTGGACAGAATGGTAATGTTGTTCGTGTCTCACATCTCTGACAACTTGGTTTCAGCCTTACTATGCTAATCATGCCATGTAGCTATCTTTGTGTCTGGGAGACCTCATACTGGACCTACTAGACCTTTCTCATCTATTTTTTCCCCTCTCCTGTCTTCCTGTCCTCTATTTCCATATCTCCTGTCCCCTGGTGTGCGGACCTCTCCCTGACCTCTTAGAACCCAGCTTCCTGGAGAGACATGGATGACGCCCACTCCACACCCTCTGTGGGCACCCCGGGACCGTCCAGTGGGGGACATGTCTCCCAGAGCGGAGACAACACCAGTGAACTCGGTAAGAGCGCCCGCAGGCCTTGTGCATCCTATTTTATATCAAAGCTTCGACTTTGGTCTTAGTTCATCTAATCACTTCAGTTACCTTAATTGCATCGATAAAAACATAATCTAAGATTAGGGAGGACTGCTCTTGGGACTATTTACCCTGACAGTAATCATAATGTGCATCATTATGACACTGAAAATTCCCCCAAAATGTTATGTCAAGCTGCACTACTAAAGTACTATAGTATGTGAGCCATTTTTTTTAAGATTTACATCTTCAGTATGAACCAATGGGCTTTAGGCTGAGTGCTACGGACATGGCAGGAAAGTCAGAAAGTATTGAGAGAAGGACTGTAATTACCACTAAGGACAAGGAGGTTATGTCCTCTGTATTTTTTTTTCTGGGAATGTGGAAGTTTTGGCAACCTGACCTTTGACCCAATAATATAAGATTTAGCATATATGTGTACTACTTTATACATAAAATAATGACTATATAGATAAAGGATTCATTACTTTCCTACCAGGATTTAGACTTCTGTGATAGCAAATTGTGTCTATAGAAACTATAATTGGTCAAGATTTGATTGATAACCTTGGTATTTCTAAAATCCTGGCTACGGGCTGGATTATAAACTAATGCATTGTGGGTTTTGACCTTTTGTGGGAATTGTTGACAGAATGGAAAATATGAAATATACACTGCTGCTTTTAGAGGACATTTTCTCCGAAATTAGTGGTGCTTGTTTGCACCCCACCTCTGGGAGTTTAACAAATGTGAATAATCTGAATTTTGACTTGAAGTAAGAGAAAACATCAAAAGGGCAATTACTGTTGATTATGGCTCCCTTGCTTTTGCAGCCAGTGTGCATTCTCAGTTTCAGGTCAGTTAGTACTGACGAAGACAGCTTCTGAACTTATAGCTGTCTGCTGCTCTTTCCCTCTGATGGCATCCAGCCCTGGTCTTCCTGTGCTTAATGTGATTTCTGATGTGCTAATTGGACGCTATACGGGTTTTATTACTTGTTTTCGTTTTTCTACCCTTTGGGCGTAGTAAAAACAGACTGGACTTTAAAGCAACTTTCCACCCTCTGCCCATCATGCATCAAGGAGCAGAGCATTGACGAGAACAATAGGAGGATGCTTTGCAAGACAAGAGAAACTCAGAGGATTAAGAGACAATCAGAAACAGATCAAGACCCTTGATTTTACACCCAACGCTTTTGAAAATCATCGAAGATACCCTGAGTGTGAGACATGTTTGTTTTCCAAAATCTTAATTCACCCATTCAGGATTCAGAAAGTGTATGTTGCTTTGAGTTGAGAAGGCAGCAGTGTGAATAGCTTCTTTCCATTAGTTTTTTTAAAACAACAATGGGGGGAAAACCCAAGGTCCCTGCCCTTTTGACCTGGGAGAGAATGCATAGAGGATGGGGGTGCAGAATGCCCCCCCGTAGGGATGTAAGGGCAGAGTATTTTATGTATGAGGAACAAAGGAAAAGAAGAGGGCAGAATGATCAGAGCTGTGGTATTGCTGCAGGATCTTCTGCATGCTACCTGCTGCTTCTCCCCAGGCCTCTTGGCCTTGTTTCCAGTCTATTCTCATGCCAGGGAAGAGTCAAACACACAACCTGATAGGATTGAAAGAACAGTGAGAGGCTTGTCATGCTAATCTGATTTTGAGCAGGTAGATGGCCTCCATAGAGTTTTAATAATGTGGTTATACAGATATCGTCACATATTTTTAATGCAACAAGTCCTTCAACCTAAATGACAGCATAGGTTGTTTTAACCACCCTCCAAATACGGCTCATGTAAGCGTATCCTAAAATAGCGCTCCTACCGGTGGCATTTGTCCATGCCTCTCAAAACTGCAATTACAAACCCGGTTTTCCGACCGGACCTACGTTACGAAAATCACATGACCTACGTAAGATGACAAACATGTGGAGCCCACAGTGACAGCGACACAAAGGAGGGGAACAAATGAATCTTGTTTAACATGGGAATTGAACGCTGGTCTCCTGGGTGAAAGGAGTCATGTATTTGCATTGTACAGCCAATAAGGGTCGCTGCCACAGTAAATGTAAACATGACTTTTGTGTGTTTTTTCTGTGGAGGACAGGCTTTTATAATAAGTTCATTGCTTGGAAAGGACAGCCCCCTTTTTCATGAGATACACTGATGTGAGCATCATGGTATTAAGATGTCATCTTAATATCATCAAGTCTGCTTTAGATTATGTTCACATATAACTACTCGGCATTGTGGTTACAGACTAATGGATGGATTGCCAGGTTTGTATGCCTTGTCTTTCCAGCAGTCAGCGTTGCATATTTTTGGCTCCTTTTGACCATTATCGCCTCCAGATCCAAAAAGTGTCCTCCCTCTTCACTGTTGATATTTTTACACATGGCACAGAAGTCATGGGGCGAGACAAAGTTCAACACTTCGTCTACATCCTGTGTCCCGGTGACTAAACACTGAAACTTAACAACATGTGATCATTTAAAAAACGTCAATGCATTTCATCTTGTGTTTTATGTCTGCTATGGCTTTTCCATTAGGAATTACATTCAAATGGCACCAAATTGCAGCACACATAATACATCCAGAGCCAACATTCAGCATCAATGCTGGAAGTAGCGTGTACTTTGACGGTGGTGGAGGATATATGTGTAGGGCATACAACTTTTATGCTGCAGACCAGATCTCATGTCCCATCATGGACTTACAGGTATTTCTAAACTATAACCACAATTGTCCCCTAACCTCAATCAACCATGTGCAGATAATGTGTCCTGTCTGGCGATAGTCTTGCTTTTTCAATATTTATCAAGACCACAATATGTGGTCACAGTGTATGACCACATGTTCAGGGACGCCATCTATCAAGTACAATGAAGTCATAACTGATGATTAAAGGACTTTCACAGCTAAAAAGCTTATTAGTTACAAATCTTATATATTCATTTGTATTAATGTACCCCAATGGAAGCAATCCATATAAAATCTTGGTAGGCTACAGAAAGAACAATACTCAGAATGATTCAAAGGCCGTAACAGAATATTCAGATCACATCAAAATGACAAATGACAAAGAGGATCACGAGGTGTTCCAATATTCCTTTGGTGGAATCATTTTGAAAGTAAACATGAAAAGAAACTGAATGAAAAACCAACAGAAGATAGGGCCTGATTGTGCTGGTCTGACAAAACCTTTTAAATTCCACTGCCATTTGGGAACACCAAAGTGGTGGTGATGTGGCTGCCATCCCTGGCCAATCACAGGTAGACAATCCATCCACTATGTGGCTGCTGGTTTGGCTCATGGTTAACTGCTCCTCTATAAGCTCCCAGGTTTTGGTTGTTGCCTTGTAAACTATGTGATATTCAGAGTACTGTCACTGATAGCTCAACCCCCAGGGTGATTGTTGCTGACCAAAGCTAAAGTGGCTGAGCTCTCCCAGGAATGTTTGGACAGGGTCTGCGGGAGGACAAGGAGAAGACTTGAAATGTCAAATCACAAAGAACTAAATAAAACAAAAGGCAGTAGGAGTGATTGTTGAGAAATGGAATTTCAGGATGCATTGCACCTTTTTGTCACATCCAGAGTCAAGAGTCACGAAAAAAGGAATGTGGCTGTTTTTTGGTGATTGGCTTCTGGTTTGTGTGACTAGTTTTAGCTGATGGCCACACACAGCTCGGGAAACACAATCTTGATATTGATTTATCTGCTTCTCAGTGGTTACTTATCTGTAGGTCTGCTATAGCAAATGTGTTAAACACAAATAAGATGTATGCTGTTTCATTTTTATGCTGTTGTGATATGTAGTCTACATTTTTAAATGTTACCAAATGAAAAGGATTGTACGAAGCAATTCTTGTATTGCTCCAGTTTTACGCCAACAACAACTAGATTTGTCCACAGCACAAACTACATTACCAGTACAGTACAGAACCAGAGTGCAATCACAATTCCCATGGACAAGAGCACGTCCTGGGTACCCATCAGTGATTGCAGATACTGTGCACACGACTGCAGAGGGGATGGTGTGCAAATCTGTGTAAAGACCATGTAGAGCTCTTAAGGGACGTTTTCGGGAAAGACATGCTGCTGTTGAACTTCTTTAATACTGTTCTTCACTGCTGTCAGCATCACAAACAATTCTGTTCACCTCCAGATTTGAGAGAAGAGAGAAATTATTTTTAAAATTACAATTCATATCAACCAACCCTTTTAAACATAATGAAGGACAAGTTGTTGATGGCACAGTGGCCCAGTGGATAGCACTGTGGCCTCACAACAAGAAGGTCACGGGTTTAAACCCTGGTTGTCCTGGCCTTTCTGTGTCGAGTTTGCATGTTCTCCCTGTGTCTGCGTGGGTTTCCTCCAGGTGCTCTGGTTTGCCCACCCTTAAAAACATGTTAGCTTCTCCAGTCAGTGCCATTGACCATTGACACTGGCTCAGATATGGAGTTGGTCTCCGGGCACTGCACAGTGGCTGCCCACTACTCCATTGAGGGATGGTTTAAATGCAGAGAATGAATTTCGCTATGTGTAGGTGACAATAAAATATACCTTCCCTTACCTGAAAAACATAGCAGGTCTGTTGGTGTTAAGCACAAAGTGGTGCTGCATCACAGAACACAATATTATGCCCTGTCTTCCCTGTACATTTTCACTGTTTGCCAGATGTACCTCACTGCCATTTGGTGCTGCCACATGCAAACTACTTGGCTTTAAGCAGTTTTAAACAGCCCGTCATCAGTTTGTACAATTCACACATTCTCATGTTTTGGAAATCTTCCAGACTACTGTATTTAGATCTGTGTATCATGCCTAATAAGGGGAGGTGTTGCGAGGTGTCATTGATGATGGATCAGTTCCCCGCTGAGCTCATTAGACTGGCGCTGGCTTTGCTTCACTGATGCATCTGTGAGCTGAATCCTGCAATCAGTTCTGCTAGCTGCTCAGCTCTTTCTCTTATGGACACGTCATCCACTAACTGA